GGTTCCCATAGTTTCAAGTGGGTGCCGAGTCGTGCTGCCCTCCATGGCCGCTCGCTCGCCCCGCTAGGACAGCACTTGCCCCACACAGTCTGTGGGTTGGGTTTTATTTTTTTGATCTTTTTAATTTTGAAAAAAAATGACAATTTTTAAAAAAATTTGAATTTTTTTAAATTTTTGTAAATTTTTTGAATTTTTTAAAATTTTTAAAATTTGTTGAAATTTAAAAAAAAATGTTAATTTTAAAAACATTAAAAAAATTAAATTTCTAATATTTTTAAAAATTTTTTTAATGTTTTAAAAATTTCTAACTACGTGACTTTACCAAAGAGTAGGGGGTGGGGGTGCTGAACCTTTGCCTTCGTGGTGTATGCCCCGCCTCTGGAGTGGTGGTGGTGGTGGTGGGGCAAGCCGCGGGGACAGAGTCCGCGGGTCGTAGTTCGTGTGTGCGGCCGTGAGGGGGTCAAAGGTTTTGTGCCACGTCACTTGGTTGGCACGCGGGAGGCGGGGCAGATGAGCCGTGTTTGCGAGCGCCTGTTAAGGGGGGTTTAGCGTTGGCGGCGTCACACCGCCACCACCGCCACTGTCACCACTACCACCACCGTCGCCACCGCTGTCACTGTCACACCGTCACCGCCACCGTCACCACCGCCACCACCGTCGCCACCGCTACCACCGCCACTGTCACACCGTCACCGTCAAACCATCACCACCGCTACCACTGTCACACCGTCACCGCCACCGTCACCACCGCCACCATCGCTACCACCGCCACCGTCAAACCATCACCACCGTCACCACCGTCGCCACTGTCACACCGTCACTGCCACCGTTACCACCACCACCACCGCCACACCGTCGCCACCATCACACACCGTCACCACCGCCACCACCGCCACACCGTCGCCAGCATCACACCGTCGCCGCCACCGGCACCACCGCCATCGTCACACCGTCACCACCACCACACTCACACCGCTACCACCGCCACCACCACCACACGTCCTGCCCGGCCGCCTTTGCCTCCCCAGCGCTGCCAGCTCTACACGGTGTGTAGAGCTGGGGGACGGGGAGCGTAACGGGGGGTCCGGTACGATCACAGAGGGGGTCTGGAGCCAGAGGGGGTCTGGAGCCAGCGGGGGTCTGACATTCGCTGTCGCTGCTGTTACGCTACCAGCGAGTTATCGTTCACCACGAGCAGGTGCCATGGGTTGGCTGCTGTGCCAGGCTAGGTGCAGGAGGTGGTCACGGGACAGACCCAGCAGGTGCCATGGGTTGACTGCTGTGCCAGGCTAGGTGCAGGAGGAGGTCACGGGACAGACCCAGCAGGTGCCACGGGTTGGCTGCTGTGCCAGGCTAGGTGCAGGAGGAGGTCACGGGACAGACCCAGCAGGTGCCACGGGTTGGCTGCTGTGCCAGGCTAGGTGCAGGAGGAGGTCACGGGACAGACCCAGCAGGTGCCATGGGTTGACTGCTGTGCCAGGCTAGGTGCAGGAGGAGGTCACGGGACAGACCCAGCAGGTGCCATGGGTTGACTGCTGTGCCAGGCTAGGTGCAGGAGGAGGTCACGGGACAGACCCAGCAGGTGCCATGGGTTGACTGCTGTGCCAGGCTAGGTGCAGGAGGAGGTCACAGGACAGACCCAGCAGGTGCCATGGGTTGACTGCTGTGCCAGGCTAGGTGCAGGAGGAGGTCACGGGACAGACCCAGCAGGTGCCATGGGTTGACTGCTGTGCCAGGCTAGGTGCAGGAGGAGGTCACGGGACAGACCCGGCAGGTGCCGTGGGTTGGCTGCTGTGCCAGGCTAGGTGCAGGAGGAGGTCACGGGACAGACCCAGCAGGTGCCGTGGGTTGACTGCTGTGCCAGGCTAGGTGCAGGAGGTCACAGGACAGACCCAGCAGGTGCCATGGGTTGGCTGCTGTGCCAGGCTAGGTGCAGGAAGTCACGGGACAGACCCAGCAAGTGCCATCATCAACATCATCAACATCATCATCAACAACAGCATCATCAACATCATCACCATCATCAACATCAACAACATCATCACCACCATCATCAACATCATCAACATCATCACCATCATCAACATCAACAACATCATCACCACCATCATCAGCATCATCAACATCATCACCATCATCACCATCATCACCATCATCATCATCAACAACATCATCAGCATCATCAACATCATCATCAACATCATCATCAACATCATCAACATCATCAACATCATCATCAACATCATCAACATCATCATCAACATCATCAACAACATCATCAACATCATCACCATCATCAACATCATCATCACCATCAACATCATCATCAACACCATCATCACCATCATCAACACCATCATCACCATCATCAACATCAACAACATCATCACCACCATCATCACCATCATCAACATCAACAACATCATCACCACCATCATCAGCATCATCAACATCATCACCATCATCACCATCATCACCATCATCATCATCAACATCATCA